TGTTTTTTTTTTTTTTTTTTTTTTTTTTTTTTTTTTTTTTTTTTCTCTTCGTTCTTCTATTTCATCTTCTCTGCTAACAATATACTTATCGGTATCTTATCGCATATTTTGGTTCGGGATGGAGGATCCATCAGAAATACCGACACCATCTTCAACCAGTGATGAGCTTGTTGACTTTATTGGCACCCTTAGTCTCTTCGATCAAATTAAATACACGATTGACGGAAATCAGCGAATCGCAAAGGATCTGAAGGAACTTGTAGATAAACTTGGCAAAAAAATCGTGTCTCTTGGCTCTACCCTGCTTACGCAAAAAGAGGTCATAGCTTCTCGCAATGAACAAATATCGGCTTTAAAATACGAGCTTCTATCAACTAAAATCAACACACCACCTACTGTTGCTCAACCATCTTACAGAAACGCGCTTATTAACCAGAAACAAGATTATCCAATCAATGTCTATCCTATAGGTGAGGGATGTAAATCATCTGAAGCAACTAAACAACTACTTAAGTCATCCATTGACCTCAGTAAGAATAATATCGGGATCGTCAAGGTTAAAACTATCGGCAAAAATGGTGTCCAAGTGTTATGTCGCAGCAAAGCAGAAGCAGAAAATCTTTCATCTATTATCACTGAAAAAAATACGGTCCTTCAATCTTCTATACCAACTAAAAAATACCCTGTCATCTCATTTGTAGTCCACGAAAATGACTTTGGCGAAGATATTGACGAAAAACACGTCGACCTCACAAATGATATTATCACTAAAAACAACATCGCTGACGTAAATCATATAAAAATCCTCCATACTAAGAAGACTAATAACGGCGGTTGCATAGTCATATTAGAAACACATCCCACCGTCTTTAAACAGCTGACAAACACTGGGCATATCTTTGTCTCATGGTCAAAATGCAAGTTCAGAGAACGTGACGCCATTGCCAAGTGTTTCAAATGTCACAAATTTGGCCATGTATTTAAACACTGCAACTTCTCAATCAATGACGTTCCAGCATTAAGATGTAGGAACTGTGGAGATACCAATTGCCAAGCTGAAAAATGTCTTCTTCCTTCCAAATGTATTAACTGCTGCGAATATAACCAGATGGCAGCTAAACGGAACTGGCAGCTAGTTGAAGTTGACCATCGATCTTCAGATAGAAATTGTCCATCCTTCATAAAAGCAAATAATAAGGCACGTGAATCCATCGATTATGATGGATAAACAAACCAATGTTAAAGTGATCCAACAAAATCTTGGTCGTTGCAAAAATGCCTTGGACAATTTCTATCGATTCATCACAAACAACCACATCGATATCGCTTTATTACAGGAGCCTTACTGTTTCCGTAATAAAATCCCAACTATAGCTTCTCACACTTTGATCTATGTATGTAGCGATGATAAAAAACCACGATCAGCTATAGCCATCTCCACCAAACTCAGATTTATTCTTGTCTCACAATTCTCAACCAACGACATTTGCGCATGTGACATTCAATTAGGCAATAAGACCGTGTCATTTGTATCTGCTTACATCCCAGTGGACCAGGATCGTTCCTCTCATATCAACCTGCTTACCACTATCACCCGCAGCAAGTCTAATCTGATCATTGGGGGTGACTTCAATAGTCATCACACATTATGGGGTGCTAGTTTTACCGATAATAAAGGCAGAGATGTCTGTGAGTTTCTACATGCTAACGACCTAGTGCTACTCAACGATGGAAAAATACCAACATTTTATACAACACGTGACCAAAGAACTCTCTCGAGCTTTATTGATCTGACATTCACTTCTCTCAGTGCTGCTAGTCTGATTGAAGATTGGTTAGTCCGTGATGAGGACACCTTTTCTGATCATCGTATGATTCAGTTCTCATTGACTCTGTCGGTTGGCCGCCGAGTTTTCTCCTCGACCAGAAAATTTGCAACAGGGCATATCAATTGGCACAAATTTGACCATCAATTGTCTTCCTTAATGTCGTCTTGGTCCAGTAGCATGCACAGCATAAAGTCCAGAGAAAATGTTGATCATCTCTCCAGCTCAATCATGGATGACATCATTAACTTATGCCATACCACCTTACCATTGCTTCCGACGAATCGCAGACTGGTATCTTGGTGGACAAAAGAACTCGACCTATTGGAAAAACGCTCAAAAAAGTGGTACCGTCGTGCTCGGCAAGCAAAGAGTCCTTACCTAAAACAATGTTATATGGCTATTTGGAAAACGGTGAAAGCTGAACTCCGTGTCAATATTATCCGTACCAAAAGAGATGCGTGGCGTAAATTCATAACCAACCAAGGTAAAGCTGACACTTGGTCTCACGTTGCCAAAATCTGCAAAGACACCAACACCAAGCCACCGTCTACAATCAAAAAACTCGATGGCAATTATACTATCGATGCCCCCGAAACAGCTCAATACATGCTCAACCGATTCTTCCCGGACGATTCTACCTCCGATGACAACGAAACTCATGCTCACATGAGGCAAAAGATAAGTCAAATATTTGATAGTTACGACTTTTCAAATAATGATGTGTCTTTCTCTCATGATGAAATAGCCTTAGCTGTCAATAAACAAAGCTGTAATAAAGCTCCTGGTATTGATGCTATCACTGCCAAAATTTTTCAACGAGTCTACGCCACTGATCATGGTGTTATAGATAATTGGTTCAATCTATGCCTGAAGTATGGTCAATTTCCATCACACTTCAAACATGCATTTGTCCGAGCTATCCCAAAAAAACAGAATATTGATACAATCAAAGCTTGGAGGCCTATTAGCCTTCTATCAGTTCCTGGTAAAATTCTTGAATCACTAATGGTAAACCGAATCAATTTCCACATCAGATCTAATAACCTCGACTCACAAAAGCAATATGGGTTCAAACCGCAAATTTCTACGATTGACGCCATTTCAAAAGTTACCAACTTTATTCAACAAACATTATCGAACAAACATTTTGGGGCCGTCATCTTTCTCGATGTTGAAGCTGCATTTGATAGAGCTTTCATCCCTGCTATTCTGTACCGCATGCATCGTCTAGCTGTGCCTGACAACATATGGAAGCTTTGTTATAGCTACTTCCAAGATAGAACAGCATCTATTGAAATTGGTGGCAGTTCAGCTTGTAAACCAGTGACTATTGGATGCCCACAGGGATCAACAGGTGGTCCTTCCTTTTGGAATATTCTTTATGATGATCTTCTGAATATTACGTTACCAAATGGATGTGAACTAATCGCATTTGCTGACGATCTAGTCCTTGTCTGCTCAGCAGCTCACGAAATCAATCTTCAATCCATAGCCAATACATCTATCGACCGGATTGTCGAGTGGGGCACATCGAACAAATTAAAATTCAACGAGTCCAAGACAAACGCCATGTTGATTACGCGTAAAAGAAGATCAACATGTTCCTTGATAATGAATGGTAATCAACTTGACCTTGTCAATGAATGTAAATATCTTGGTATTTATATTGACCGCAAACTTAACTGGCGTCGACACATAAATTATCTTGAAACCAAAACCGCCGCCATTTACAACAGGATGAAAATGATTAGTTCCAATGTATGGGGAGTGAAATCGGACGTAGCAAAAACTCTGTACATCGGTATTGTCGAACCAACTCTGGTCTACGCGTGCAACATATGGGGTCAAGTTCTCGAGAAAAAATGGGCCATTGAAAAAATCACCAGGATCCAAAGATGGTTTCTTCTGTCTATATGTAAAGCCTATCGAACAGTTCCTCATTTATCCCTGTGTGCGATTGCTGGAATATGCCCAATTGACATCAGGATCAAGCAACTGAATGCCATCGCCTCATCTAAAAATAGCTCAAGTTATATCAATGAATTCGGAAACATAGCCCTGATTGAACCTAGATTTCGCAGATCCAATTGTCGCCACCCAGCTATATCATACAATAAATTTATATGTACACCGGGCCAACCATTTCATAGCACTACACAAATAGAAGTTTATACCGATGGATCCAAAATGGACAGCGGCACTGGTCTAGCCTTTGTTATATTTATTAACGGCGTCGAATTCCACCATTACCAACTAAGATTAAACAACGACTGCTCGATCTTCCAGGCTGAACTAATCGCCATCCAAAAATGTCTCACGTATTTAATAAACAACAGAATTGGCCCTTCCAACATATTCTCTGATTCACTATCTTCGTTAATGGCCATTCTAAATCGTGAATCGGACTCTCCCATCGTTAATGACATCCAACAGCTTCTTATTCAACTTGACAATTTTAATATTCCTGCAGTAATTAGCTGGGTAAAAGGTCACAGTGGCGTCCATGGAAATGAAAGGGCTGATGAATTAGCTAAACTGGCCATTGATTCAAATACAATCTCGGATGCCTGCCTCCCACCTTTGTCAATAGCCAAAAAATTATTCAAACAGCGGATGTTGGTCGACTGGAACTGCCGATGGGCTTCACACAATAAGGGCCGATTTACATATCAATTTCTTCCTGACATTGCAAAAAGGTTGCATATAGACTTTAACACAAACTTCTCGACCACACAATTCATTACTGACCACGGATTCTTCAAATCATACCTTAAAAGGATGGCGTTAATTAACGACGATAATTGCAGTTGTGGTCATGGTGCGATGTCAGCTGAACATCTGATGTTCCACTGCCCATTGACCGAAGATCTTAGACTTCGATTTTCAGGCATGGCCCGCTCAGACCTGCTTAACCACAATACGAATATTATTCCTTTTATGGATGCGGTCGGGCAGATCTTCGATAGATTCAACCGAGGCACAGCCACCATCCACTGATCCTTTTTATCACTTATCTTATTTTAAATTATTGTAATTATTCATTTATTTAAACAATGTTATATTTTATTGGTATTTTTATCTATCTATTTATCTATTTTATTATTATTATTATTTATTTATTTATTTTTATTATTTTTATTATTATCATTATTATTATTATTATTATTATTATTTTTTTTTTTTTTCCTTAAACATTGTCAATATATCTAACCTGACCATGTTAAACCCCTGATTCCATTTTCAGGTGGTAAGATTCTTAAATTAATAAAAAAAAAAAAAAAAAAATTGAAATTTTTTTTTTTTTCCAAAAATTTAATTTTGATTATGGCAACCTCTCTCACTCTTTATTTTCTTCACTTATTCAAAATGTCAAGAAAATGTTTCTTATAAGACAGGTAGATTTTTGTAATGAAAATTTATGCATGTAACCCATGTTGTTGTTGATAATGATAATNATGTTAATATCGGCTGCTAATCATTTGAATATTACACCACTATCAATTATATTTATTCTTACAATATTTATACAAATTTTCACCTCAAATCGACGATGATTTGAAAATCCTAAATAATCCTGAAGAATATTCTTGATTCTTGATCCACCATCACCGCTTCGGAAATCTTACACTATCTATATGAAAGTTCCCGACAACAAGAAAAAACTCACTTCCAAAAAAAAGCATCTACGAATGGCAAATTATCTATCTTAACATCACCATCATCGTTTCATCAATCAATCGTTGGCATTAACTCAAATATTAGAGGTCACCAATCATCACCTATCCATCACCAATCATCATGTATAATTCATCAATCAATCAATCACCTAACTGTATTAATCAACCAAAAATGAAAAAAAAAAATTCTTTTATCCTTTGTTAACGCAGAATTTATATTGTTGAATGTTTGTTTGTTTGTTTGATCATTGAAAGTTTTCACTAAATCAAATTTGAACAATTTCATTTGATTTTTGGTTGTTTTTCGTTTGTTGTAATTGTATTATTAAAAAAATTTTTCTCATATAAAAATCCTAACATTTTGTAAATATTGTACTTTGATTCAAAATCTTGGACAAAGTTTTCAAGTATAGTAAGTGTGTGTGCTTGATAAGTGAAACAAACAAAAAAAAAAAAGAATGCCGAAAAAAAAGAAATCCAAATCCAAATCCAAAGGATTGTTTGCATTGGAAAAAGGACCAACACCATCCAAAATGGAACCAAAAGAAATAACCGGTCTTTATAATGTTGGCCCAGGTCAAAAATTTCAAACCGAAGAAGATATTATAAAATTTTTTAAATATAAATTAGAAGAAAAACTTGGTGAAGGTGGTTTTGGTGTTGTTTATATTGCTGTTGATCAAACAACAAATGCAAGACAAGCATGTAAAATGTGTCAATTAGGTAATAATATGAATGATTCAAGAATAATGGATATGAAAAATGAATTATTTATTATGGAAAAAGTTAAACATTTATATATTGTTAAATTAATGAAACATTTTATGTGTTTAACACCGACTGGTAATCGTTTATATATATTTATGGAATTAGCTGATGGTGGTGATTTCGGGAAATTTATGAGTAAAACAGGACCACTGACCGAACCACAGGCAAAACTTTATTTTGCACAAATAATCTGCGGTATTAATCATATGCATTCATTAGGTATTGCACATCGTGATATAAAACCGGGTAATATTTTATTAAAAAAAGATACAACATCATTAACAGGTGATTTTTTATTATTGGTTACTGATTTTGGTTTAAGTCGTATACAACATCATGATAATCAAGGACAAATAGCAATGAATCGTACTGTTTGCGGTACACCAATATTTATGGCACCTGAAATATTATTACGTAAACCATATGTTGCATTTGGTGTTGATATTTGGGCATTAGGTGTTACATTATATATTATGATGACATCACATTTACCATTCGATTTTCGTGATCGTGCTAAAGCTGTTAAAGATATGGTGGAAAAAAAATGGACATTCGATGAAGATGTTATGAAATCAAAACCATCAAAAGAATATTGTTCATTAATGCAACGTATGATTGATCCAAATCCTGAACAACGAATAACAATGCAACAATTAACAAAAGATAAATGGCTTGCCGATTCATATAATAAAGCACAAAAATTAGCTAATCAATTGAAAAGGAAAAAATGAAAAAACAAAAATCAAATTAAAATAAATAAAAACTTAGAAATCTTGTCTTGTTTTTTAAATATTTTTGGTTACCGTTCATAAATGACATTCCCGAATTTATTTTGAAACATGCGCTTATTTATTGTCCGAATGGGGAAGTGGTTTGAAAATGTATAGATTGAAAAAAAGTGTTAAAAAAGGCGCAATTTTCCCTTTCATTCTTGATAATGCCACTACCTTAATTTCTGATTCCTGATATTTATCACAAACATAAACCACTTCTATTAACCGCTATTTATTATTGTTATTGTTGTTATTGCTGCAATATTAACACAATGCACGCCAGGCTTTTTTTTTTGTTTCGATGATTTTCAATTGGATTCTTGTTTTTTTCGGGTTTTTTTGACGTTTTACGTGACTGATTTTTTTTTGCAACAGAATCATCATCATCATTGAAACAACAATCAACAATGTCACCATCAAAATGTCGTATCTATGTGGGTAATCTACCACCAGATATTCGAACCAAAGATATTGAAGATTTATTCTATCGTTTCGGTAAGATTGCATTTGTTGATTTGAAAACACGTCGTGGTCCACCATTTGCATTTGTTGAATTTGTTGATCCAAGGTAAGTGATTCGAATTTCTAAATTTCAAATGTTAAAAGGATTTTCTCATCATCGATTTTTTCAGAGATGCAAAAGATGCTGTTTATGAACGTGATGGTTATGATTATGATGGTTATAAATTACGTGTTGAATTTCCACGTGGTCGTGAACGTGGTCCGGGTGGTGTTTTTAAATCAGGTAGTCGTGGTGGTGGCAGTTCATCCACCAATCATCATCCTAAACGACCAGCACCAACACGTCGTTCTACTTATCGTATTAAAGTTACTGGATTACCATCATCCGGTTCATGGCAAGATTTAAAAGATCATATGCGTGAAGCAGGTGATGTTTGTTATGCTGATGTTTTTAAAGATGGAACAGGTGTTGTTGAATTTTTACATCATAATGATATGAAATATGCATTGAATAAATTAGATGGTTCAAAATTTCGTTCACATGAAGGTGAAACATCATATATTCGTATTGAAAAAGATTCATCTGATCGTGGTGATCGTCGTAGTCATGGTCATGGTCATCATCGTTCCCGAACACGTTCAAGATCAAGATCTTATTCTCGTTCACGTTCACGTTCAAGATCTCGTTCCTATCGTTCATCATCATCACGTGATTCATCAATATCATCAAAACATTCACGTGATTCACCAACTTATTCACCACCACCACGATCAAGATCACATCGAAGATCAAGATCTCGTTCCCGATCATCTCGATCTCGTACACCATCATCATCCGCATCCGAATCATCAAGACACCATTCTCGTTCACGTTCACCAACCATATATAGTCGTAGTCGTTCACATACACCGGATAATCGTAATCGTTCATTATCAAGATCTCGTTCACCACCAACACCATCACCATCACCACCAAATGATGGTGATAAAAGCTTAACACATTCAGATGGTGATGAATCATCAAGATCCATACATAATGATTGAATGATTGATTGCTTATTTCAACCATTTAGGCTTATTAAATTGGCTGCTGCTGATCATGGATGCACATCATATAAATACACATCAAATAAAGATGGTTAATTTTTAATTTTTAACTTTTCCCCTATATAAAAATTCTCATTTCATCAGTTTTTTTTATAAAAAAAAAGATGTTGTCGAAAGGATATCCACAGAATAGTAAACACATTCGTTCATTCATTTGACAAACATCCAATGATAACAAATTTTAAATCTTCCATTCATTTTTAGCATTTTAAAAAACCAAAAAAAAAAAACTTGTAATTTCCTTTTTTTGTAATTAATTTTTCATTTTTTTCTTATTTCTCATTTTTTTCTCAATCAATATATGTTTTTTATTTAGTGTTTCAAGCCAGGAATTATGGATTAAAGAATTGAGGAAGGAATTGAATCTATGGATTTTTCCCCAAAAGAAGAAGACAAAGTGTGTGTTTGATCAAAGTTAGATTTTTTCTATATCCAATTTTTCCATTATTTTATTGTATGTAATTTTGTTGTTGTAACGAATAAAAATTGAATTTTTTTTTTGTATGTAAAAGGATTATTCATGATGTTTTCATGAGAAAAACAAAATGTCTTCATTTGAATTTGAGAAAAGAGAAAGAGAAAACAAATTTATGGATCAAACATTATTTATGGATCGACATTGATCTAAATAGATTGTTTCATTTACCTTGTATTACGTTCTTTATATTCCAAAAATTGTCCTCATAATCTAAATTTTTTCCATTTTATTCATTCAATTCGACCTGTTTTTTTCTGTTCCACTGACTGACTGACTGACGTATGGTATCATTTTTAACTGACCAACGTGAATGGAAAAAAACGTGTTAAGAGAGGGAACAAAAGAAAAAAATAAAGGTAGATTTTGTGAAAATGAAAAAAAATAAGATAAGGTAAACCCGATAAAAACAGAGAAATGAACAAACAAAATGAACATTTAAATTTCAACTGGACAACAGCAGAGATTTCTCTTTTCAATCGAGAACAACAAATGAAAAAAGAGATTTTTTCATAATAATAAAAAATGTTGTTGATGTTTGATGATGATGATGATCTGATTACCGAATTTTGGATGTTTGTTTGTCCTAAAAATTTTCATCATTGACATAGAAAATCAACTACAATGGCCTAGATTATTATGATTATCACTGCTAATGATTATTAATAGCGATATTTATTTTTGGATTCCTTTTCTTGCTTACTTTCACTATTTTCACTAAAGGCATACAAGTGAGCCATTTTTTTCCTTCAAAGCCAAATTTAAGGGAACAATTTTTTTTGTTAAGCTAATAATGATGTGCGCGCTATAGTGCACACAGTATCCTTTGAAGCCAAAATTTAAGGAAAACAAAAAAAAATTTTTTTTTAAGCGAAAAAAATACATTTCCTCAATTTAACACAGAATGAATCATTCCTAATCACGAATATTTAAACAAAACAAAAATAAAACAATAGACAAAATTACATTCAATTATCCACACATGTGTCAATCATCATCATTATTCCATCATCGTCAAGGATACCGAAAAAAACAAAACTTGATTTCGTTGAAAAACATTTCCGAGCTACAATCATCAACAACAACAACATTAAATAGCTGGCTGGGCGCGGTATATAATTTTTGCATTGCACACATACATTCATTTTGGCTATTTGGTTGATTGGTTGTATGTATGGATCGTCATTTCATCGACAATACTGGCCGCTCCTTTCCAACACTGGAAAAATCATTGTCGATGATCACTCAGAGTATAGAGTTTCAAATGTCTACCACTACCATCCCCAAAACAAAACATTATCACTATTAACATATACAAGCGCTATTCTCTGTTTACATTCCCCTTATGTTTATTTGTTCCTTGTTGGATCACCGATTTTTGGAACACAACTTTTCAGAATATCCAATTATATAGCTGACCGAGGAAAACAAAAACAACAACAACCAACAACAAACCAGAATATCTGCATATATTCCGCATATCCGTAAACACCCTTGTTTCCATCTTTCCTTTTTGGCTTTTGTTTTTTTTACCGCATTAATTTAACCCCCAAAAATATATCCTCCCAAGTAAGTTAATTTACTTTATCAAATATCACCATGATAACACACTATAGTGATATTGGTGATATCATTTTCAATCAACATTGAACATTATCTGTATCTGGCTTTTGGTTTAGTTTTCGGTTTTGGTTTTTTCATTCGTTAAACCAACGCCCAATTTGATTATCATTGATTTTCCAACTTTTTCTTGAATGAAAATCATTATCGAAAGTAAGAAAACCATTATTTTGTTTCCATATTTGCCTAGATTATCCCAACATCATTGAAAAAACAAAAATTGGTGTCAATCGAATTCCAAATTGATACATTTTTCTTGTTTTCTACGATATTTTAATGTCATAGTGTGACTAAGCTAATTTTCGTTCGTTTGTCTTTTTTTCATTCTCTCGTTTCTCTCGTACAGATTTATGTCCTAAAATCTACATTGTTTGTTTGTGAAGTGAGTGAGTGACATTTTCATCGTTTTCCATTGTTTTTTCGATAAGCAAGAGAAGAAAAGAAAAAGATGGAAAACATTCCAGTTCCAAAAGATATAAAAATTTTGGAAACTGTTGAAGAAATTCAAGATCGTCGTCGTACTGTCCTCGGTCATTATGATGCATTCCGTCAAAATTCTCGAGTGAAACGTTGTAAATTAGAAGATTCAAAACGTTTTCAATATTTTAAACGTGATGCTGATGAATTAGAATCATGGATTAATGAAAAATTACAAATAGCATTGGATGAATCATGGAAAGATCCAACAAATTTACAGGCAAAAATACAAAAACATCAAGCATTCGAAGCTGAAGTACATTCACATGCAAATGCTATTGGTGAATTAGATTCAAATGGTAATGAAATGATTTCGCAACAACATTTTGCATCCGAAGTTATTAAGGTAAGTGTCTGGTGGATACAAAACAACATTTTTGCTAATTTCCACCCCTTTATTGTTCGTACAGCAACGATTAGAAGAATTACATCGATTATGGGATATGCTAATGATCAAATTGAATGATAAAGGTTATAAACTACAACAGGCATTCATATTGGTACAATTTTTACGTCGTTGTGATGAAATTATGTATTGGATTAAAGATAAAGAAGCTATTGTTTCATCGGATGATATTGGACAAGATCTAGAACATGTTGAAGTTTTACAAAAAAAATTTGATGAATTTAAAAAAGATATGGCAAGTCAAGAAATTCATATTAATGAAATTGAACGTGATGCACAGAATTTAATTGAAAAAGATCATCCGGAAAAAGATCAAATCGCAAAACGTTCGGCTGAAATCCGTGATGCTTGGGCTCGTTTGATTGAACTTCGTCGCCTTCGTGAAGATAAATTATTTGGTGCAAAAGAAATTCAACAATTTAACCGTGATGCTGATGAAACAATATCATGGATTAATGAAAAAGATGCAATAATATCACCAGATGATTATGGTCGTGATATGGCATCTGTATTAACATTACAACGTAAACATGAAGGTGTTGAACGTGAATTAATTGCATTGGCTGAAAAAGTTGATCAATTAGAAAAAGAAGCACAAAATTATACGGAAAAACATCCAGATCTTCGTGAACAAATTCTTATCAAACTGGATGAAATTCGTAATGTTTGGTTAGCATTACAACGAAAATCATCGGAAAGAAAAATACGTTTAGAACATTCATATTTGTTGCATCAATTTATGGCTGATTATCGTGATTTAATGTCATGGATACAAGATATGAAAACAATTATTGCATCGGATGAATTGGCAAAAGATGTTGCAGGTGCTGAAGCACTATTAGAACGTTTACAAGAATATCAAACTGAAATTGATGCAAGACAAGATGCTATATTGAAATTTAAAAATTCAGGTGAATCATTAATCCAGAAAAATATTGCACCTGATGATGTTCAACAGAAATTGGATCATTTACAAAAAGAATATGATGCATTAATAAATTTACGTGAAGAAAGAAGAATCCTGTATGAACAATGTATGGATTTACAGCTATTTTATCGCGATACTGAACAAGCTGAAACATGGTTAAATAAACATGAAACATTTCTTCTTAATGATGATCTTGGTGATTCATTAGATTCTGTTGAAGCGCTAATAAAAAAACATGAAGATTATGAAAAATCATTGGCTACACAATCTGAAACTGTTAAAAATTTAGATAATTTTGCTACACGGTTGATTAATGGTGAACATTATGCAAAAGATGATATTGAAAAACGAAGACAATTATTATTGAAAAGACGACAAGAATTATTGGAAAAAGCAGCTAAAAGACGTAAAATGTTGGATGATTCATATGAATGGCAACAATTTGAACGTGATTTTCATGAAATCAAAGGTCTAATGGTTGAAAAATTAAAAACAGCAAGCGATGAAAATTATCGTGATCCAACAAATATTAATGGAAAATTACAAAAACAACAACAATTTGCACAGGAACTATCAGCACAACAAAATCGTATTAATGATTTTAATAAAAATGGTCAACGATTGATTGAACAAAATCATTATCAATCACCAGAAATACAGCAACGTATTGATGAAACAAATGAATTATGGGCAACATTAATTGATTTAGGTGAAAACAAGACGGCCAAATTACAACAAGCAGTTGAACAACAAAAAGTTAATTTGATTTCTGAAGATATTGAATTATGGTTGGCTGAAATTGAACATCAAATCAGTTCAGAAGATTTAGGTAAAGATTTAACATCAGTACAGAATCTTTTGAAACGACATAATATGTTAGAAGCTGATATTGCAACACATCAAGATCGTATTAATGATATTGTTCGACAAACAAATCAATTTATTGAAGATGGTCATTTTGATTCGGATGCTATAAGGGAAAAACAATTGGCATTGGTTGAACGTTATAATAAATTGAAAATACCAATGGAAAAACGTAAACGTCGTTTGAATGATGCCCTGCAAGTACAACAATTATTTCGCGATATTGAAGATGAAGAATCATGGATTAGGGAAAAAGAACCAGCAGCTAGTTCAACAAATCGTGGTCGTGATTTGATTGGTGTACAGAATCTAATGAAAAAACATCAAGCATTAATATCGGAAATTAATAATCATGAACATCGTATAAAAGCGGTGGAAAAAACTGGTAATGATATGATCAGGAAAGAACATTTTGCATCAAAAGATATTAAACGACGATTGATTTGGCTGGAAGAACAATGGAATGGTCTGAAAGAACGTGCCGCTCGTCGTAAACAAGAATTAGAAGATTCTCTTCAAGCACAACAATATTTAGCCGATGCAAATGAAGCTGAATCATGGATGCGTGAAAAAGAACCAATTGTTGGTAGTAATGATTATGGTAAAGATGAAGATTCAACTGAAGCTTTATTGAAAAAACATGAAGCAATTATGGCTGATTTAGAAGCATTTGATAATACAATACGTTCATTACGTGAACAGGCAAGTAGCTGTAAACAACAAGAAGCACCAGCTGAATTTATACCAGGTCGTGAAGCTGTTGTTGCATTATATGATTATCAAGAAAAATCACCACGTGAAGTATCAATGAAAAAAGGTGATGTTTTAACATTATTGAATGCAACAAATAAAGATTGGTGGAAAGTTGAAATAAATGATCGACAAGGTTTTGTACCAGCAGCATATGTACGTCGTTTGGATGATAATTTATCATCAAGTAGACAACATTTAGGACAAAATTCATTACCAGTACGACAATCACAAATTGAATCACAATATGAATCATTATTAGCATTAGGTCGTGAACGTAAACGTAAACTAGAAGAAGCATTACGTGGATTTCAATTGGTTCGTGAAGCAGCTGAATTAAGTCAATGGGTTAAAGATAAAGAACAAATAAATGTTGTTAATGATGAAGTTGGTGAAGATTTAGAACAGGTAGAAGTTTTACAAAAAAAATTTGATGATTTTATGTCGGATATGAAATCAAATGAACTTCGTTTAATTGAAATGAATCAAATGGCAACACAATTAGCTGAATTAGGACAAGTTGAAGCTGCAAATAAAATTAGTCAACAAGTTGGTGATTTAAATCGTAAATGGGTACAGCTTACGGAAGCAACACAACAACGTGGACAACAATTAGCATCAGCACATGAAGTACAACGTTTTCATCGTGATATTGATGAAACAAAAGATTGGATTCGTGAAAAAGAAGATGCACTACAAAATGATGATTGTGGTCATGATTTACGTTCAGTACAAACATTACAACGTAAACATGAAGGTTTGGAACGTGATTTGGAAGCTTTATTGGAAAAAGTAAGACAATTGGAAAAAACAGCTAATTCAATTGAATCGAAACATCCAGAATCGGCTGAAATTACACGGGTGAAACAAATTGAAATAATGGAAATGTGGTTACAATTAAAGAATAAAGCCGATGATCGTAAACGTAAACTACAAAATTCATATGAATTGCAAAGATTTTTGAATGATCATGGTGATCTGATGCTGTGGATACAAACAATGATGGGTTTAGTTGCATCGGATGAATTAGCAAATGATACTATTGGTGCTGAAGCTTTGTTGGAAAGACATCAAGAGCTATCATCCGAAATTAATGCCCGTAAACAAACATTTCAAAATATTGAAGATTTTGGTCAACGTTTAATACGTGAAAATCATTATGCAACTGAATTAATACAGAAAAAATTAGAAGAATTATATCATACATTTCAGGAATTGAATAGTGCATGGGATCATCGACAACATCGTTTACAACAATGTTTAGATTTACAATTGTTTTATCGTGAATGTGAACAAGCTGAAAATTGGATGGGTAATCGTGAAGCATTCCTTAAAACACAAGATGATGATGATAATGTTGAAATCCTTATTAAAAAACATGAAGATTTAAATAAAGCCATTCGAATTCAAGAAGAAAAAATTGAAAATCTTAAAAAATTAGCTGATAAATTGATTGATAAAGATAATTATGCAAAAGATTCAATACGATCGAAACGTGATCAAGTTTTGGATCGTTGGAATCTTCTAAAAGATGCATTGATTGAAAAACGATCGAAATTAGGTGATTCACAATCAATACAACAATTTTCACGTGATGCTGATGAAGTGGAAAAATGGATTACGGAAAAATTACAAATGGCAACTGATGAATCATATAAAGATCCAGCTAATATACAATCAAAACATCAAAAACATCAAGCATTTGAAGCTGAATTGAATGCTAATAAAGATCGTATACAACAAATTCTGTCGATGGGTGATAATTTAATTGGTAAAGGTAAATGTGGTGATGGTGAAGAAGCCGTTCGAGATAAACTGATATTAATCACTGAACAATGGAAATATTTGACGGAAAAAACAACTGAAAAGACGATTAAACTGAAAGAAGCAAATAAACAACGTACATATAATGCAGCGATTAAAGATTTAGAATTTTGGCTAGCTGAAGTTGAACGTTTATTGAATAATGAAGATGTTGGTAAGGATTTAAATTCCGTACAGAATCTACAGAAAAAACATCAATTATTACAAGCTGATATTGAAGCACATGAAGATCGTATAAAAGATATGAATGCATTAGCTGATTCATTGAATGATGCTGGCCAATTTGATAGTGATGTTATTAATGAAAAACGTAATACAGTTAATGAACGTTATCAACGTGTATTGAATCTTGTTAATCATCGTCGTAATCGTTTGAATGAAGCAACAACATTACAACAATTTTTAAGAGATATTGCTGATGAAGAATCATGGATTAAAGAGAAACAACTGTTAGTTTCATCAGATGATTATGGTCGTGATTTAACTGGTGTTAAAAATTTACATAAAAAACATAAACGTTTTGAAAATGAATTAGCTGCACATGAACCAAATATTCAGGCGATTCAGGAAGCTGCACAGAATTTAATGCTAGAATCAAATCTTGGTAAACCTGAAATTGAACAACGTTTACAAGCTTTGGAACAATTTTGGTTACGTTTAAAAGAAATGACATCAATTCGTGAAAATAAAATTGAACAATCACTTTCGTATCAACAATTTTTAGTTCGTGTTGAAGAAGAAGAATCATGGATATCGGAAAAATTACAACTTTTAAATTTGGATGATTTAGGTGATAGTATGGCATCAGTACAAGGTGTTCGAAAAAAACATGAATCATTTGAAAATGATTTTGCATTGCATAAAGAACGTTGTTTGGAAATTATTGCTGCTGGTGATGTATTGATAAATGAAAATAATCATCATTCAGATCAAATACGACAACGACAAAATCAATTACGAGATCGTTTGAATCGTTTAGAAGATGCAGCCCGTAGACATAAACAAAAGCTGGAAGATAATCATGCTTATTTGGAATTTATGTGGAAATCAGATGTTGTTGAAAGTTGGATTGCCGATAAAGAAATGCATATTAATAATAATGATTATGGTCGTGATCTATCATCAGTATCAACATTACTAACAAAACATGAAACATTTGATGCCGGTCTGCAAGCATTCGAACAAGAAGGTATACAAACAATAACCGAATTAAAAGATAAATTACTGGCATCAAATCATGCACAAAGCGATATTATTCATAAACGTTATGATAATTTAATTGCACGTTGGCAAGATTTACGTGCTGCAAGTGAAGCCCGAAAAGCACGGTTATTAAAAGTTCAAGAACAATTTAAACAAATCGAGGATTTATTCTTGACATTTGCTAAAAAAGCATCACAATTTAATTCATGGTTTGAAAATGCTGAAGAAGATCTTACTGATCCTGTTCGTTGTAATTCAATTGAAGAAATTCGTGCACTATTGGATTCACATCAACAATTTAAACAATCATTGGTTAGTGCTGAAAATGATTTTCAAGCTTTGGCTGAATTGGATCGTCGTATACATAGTTTTAAAGTTGGTCCAAATCCATATACATGGTTTACAATGGATGCATTGAAAGAAACATGGTTGAATTTGCGTAAAATTATTGCCGAACGTGATGCAGAATTAGCAAAAGAATATCAACGACAAGAAAATAATGATAAACTTCGTCGGCAATTCGCTGCGGCTGCTAATGAATTTCATAAATGGATTAATGATGCCAGGTAAATTCATTGTTATAAGATTTTTTTTGTTTTTGTTTTTTGTAATTAATTTTCCTTTTTTTCCCGAATCAAAGAATGTGGCTTTTGGATGGTGGTTCAATGTTAGAAGGAACTGGATCACTTGAAGCACAACTTGAAGCAACAAAACGTAAAGCAATGGAAGTACGTTCAAAACGTAGTGATTTGAAAAAAATTGAAGAACTTGGTGCTGTTCTTGAAGAACATTTAATTCTGGATAATCGTTATACTGAACATACTACTGTTGGTTTAGCACAACAATGGGATCAATTAGATCAATTATGTATGCGTATGCAACATAATCTGGAACAACAAATTCAAGCACGTAATCATTCGGGTGTTACGGAAGAAGCATTAAAAGAATTTTCAATGATGTTTAAACATTTTGATCGTGAAAAGAATGGAAAATTACCACATGCAGAATTTAAAAGTTGTTTACGTGCATTGGGTTATGATTTAGAAATAATACCACCAGGTGAACCTGATCCACAATTCGAAGCAATATTGGATATTGTTGATCCTAATCGTGATGGTTATGTACAACTACAAGAATATATGGCTTTTATGATTTCCAGGGAAACAGAAAATGTATCAACAAGTGAAGAAATTGAAAATGCATTCCGTGCTATTGCTACGGATGGTCGACCGTATGTTACGGCTGAAGATCTTTATTCGGTAAGATTTTTTTCAATGTTTGTTTTTCTCATTAAATTCTTGATTTTTTTCCCACAGAATCTATCGAAAGAAATGGCCGATTATTGTATGAGCCGTATGAAATCGGTTACCGATCCAAAAACTGGTAAAGAAGGCTATGATTATGTGGAATTTACCCGAACATTATTTCAAACACAGTAAATCCGGATCAGAATTTTTCAAAATCAAACTTTTTTCTCCCATTTAAATATTCATAGATTCAATTCATTCGTAGATTATGAATTTTATATTAACCCTTAATCTTTAGTAGAGATTCTTGACCAAAATTCCAAAACAAAAAAATATTCCATATTTTTCATTTTTGAAAAAAAATAAAGTTTCCACAATGAATTTTCAACTTAAAACAAAAATCTTGTAATCTTTCTTCTTTCCGACTAATTGTTGATGGCAAATTTTCCATTCATTGAACTTGAATTTGAATTTGATTGATTGATTGATTGATGGAAAAACAAAAAAACAAAAAGTTTTCGATGTTATAAAGGGCACAGACAGTTTTTCATTTTCTTCGTCGCCGTTTCTTCTTGATTTTCAATTTTTGATTTTCAACATTTCAATCAATAATGGAATTTCAACGAAAATTTACAACATCAATATTTCATGTAAAATTATACAATCATAAACCTTGTCTTTCTTCTTCAGTCATGATTGATCGTAATAACAATAATCCTCAATTTCATACTGCTACTGATAGTGTTAACTTCAATCATCATCGTTGTTCATATAAATTTGTCTATCTTTTAGCTGATCGTTGGGGTTTGAAATTCTATCTAAATAACCCAAATAATCACAGTGGCTGGAATAAAACATTTGAAAATTGGTTATGGAAAATTGATTGTTATTGTTTGGTTTATCGTTCTCAAACGAAATCCTCATTGTTTATAAGAAATTTTTCATCCCGATCTGATATACGAATAGAATTCATTAATGTTGATGAATGTTTACGTTTTATTTATCAATGTGAAAATTTTTTATTTATTGAACAACAATTTAAGATAAAAAAATCACCAGAATATTCTATGTTGATTAATAATAAACAACAACAACAACAACAACAACAACAACAACAACAACAATCGACAACAACAACAACAACAACAACCGGCGATCGAAAAACAAAAATGAAAATATTTTTTGAAAATTTTATCCATTTTTTCTGTGGATGTTTTCCACCATTATTTCATTTGTTGTTCATGAATGAATCAAAATCAATGAAAAAATCTGTTTATGATTATTATTATGAACCAATGTTTAGTCCATTTGAAGTTTGAATTCTTGATTTGCTACTGACCATCATCCTCCATATTTGTTTTTGATTTTGTTTTTTAAAGTGAAATTTTGAAAAGGATGTTATCAACAACCCACCAACCAACCAATAATCTATATTCTCTATGTTATCAATTTTATTGAATTTTTGCTGGTGAAATAAAAGCTGATTGATCAATCAATGAATGATCAGTAATTTCATTTTTGTTGTTGTTGTTTTGATTTCTGAATTTCTCTTCTTTTAGGATATTCGTGTGCCTGTGTGTGTAACCAATGGTTACATTTATTATATTGTTTTGTTTGTTTTTGTTTTTTCTCCGGTAAATTATGACCGAGTTGTACCGAGACGAAATTTTCTGCTGAGGGGGGGAGAATTGTCGAATGCAAGTTTTGTTTTTTTTTGTTTTTCTGGTTTGAAAAGAAGAAAAATTCTTTAATGAATGATAATTTGTGTGTTGAAAGAATTTTTTTTTGATTGACAAAGAATATTCCAGTGATACAGCGACAGTAATTTATTTTGGTTTGTTTTGTTTGGTTTGGTTGAAAAGTCGATTTGTCAACCGAAAAAAAAACGAAGAAAAAATGAGTACATTAGATACAGAAAAAGATGAAGATCAATCATGGGTGTTGGATTCATTGGTTGGTTTTCTTAAAAGTCCATTATGGTCAACATCATTGAATGATTTTATTGATCGTCATTCGATTAGTAAGTAGTAAATTTCCGGGAAACAAATTTTCTAAAAAATATTCTTTAAATTTTTTTTCTGAAAAAGTTTTCGATCCTAATGAAATTGAAGATGATAATGGTAATGTACAATATCAACAAGAATATTTAGATATATTTCAACAATATAGACGTTTAGTTGATCAATTAATTGGTTCACATATGCAAGAATTAGATATTAATGAACAACAATTTTCACGTGCATGTCAATTAGCTGAAGGTATGCTGGCAACAAAACTGAAACGAATTCTGTTTGAAGAATTATGGGCTGCTGAAGATTATGAAGTATTCGTACGGTTAATGTCCAAAAGAAATGTTGAATTACAATTAGAAGCAATGGAAATTCTTGTACGTAAATATGGTCTGGTTTATGATGTTTTTGTACCGGTTGGTACATCACCGAAAAATTTCCTAAGTGAAGATCATATTTTACGTGAAGCTATTGTACGATCGTTGAATGATTTAGAATTAGAACATGATAAAGATGATGTGGATGATGAATCGAAACCTAACCGTGGAAAAGTAATCAGAAAAAATGTCGAAGTTGATGTTGAACCAAATGATAATCCGCCAGTAGAAGAAGAATCGGGTGAGATTGATGATGAAGCAGAAGAAGAAGAAGCAGCAGTGGTAAAAACAGATAAAGAAACAGGTAAGGTTTTATCAAGTTTGTTTAACCTTACCTGATGAATGTTTTTTTTCCCCAAGTACAAAGAGATGCAGAAAGATTGGTTAAAGTAAAACAAAAATTTGATCAAAAAATGACCGAAGCATTACAATCAGCATTTATGAATGATGATGATGATGATGATGATGGTGATAAAGAAAAAGTCAAAAGTCAGGTTCAGTTAACCCAGATTGATGAAGATGGTGATGATGAATCTGAATCCAAAGCAAAACAACAACAAAAAGATTCTTCAATGATTTCGAAACCAGGTTTAAGTGATGAAGATATACATAAAAGAGCTGATTATTTACGTGCTCAAAGAGATAAAATATTGAAAAAACGTCAAAAAGAACGTACAGAACGTATTTCGAAATATTTGATTAAAGAACGACAATCAAAACAACCACCATCAGTATCATTATCATCAACAGGAGAAATTGCGGAATCAGATGCGGCGACGACGACAGCGGATAATAATGGCCGCATGTTGGCATTTCGAAAAAGTTTAGCTGCACGTTTGAAAGCTGAAGTTGTACTTGGTGGCGGTGGTGTTGCCAATCCTACATCAAAATCATCAAATGAATAAATGAATGGAGAAAATTTCCTTGGAACATTTCTCGGAAAGATTCTCGCTGCAGAGTTGTCCGCATTTGATGATTTAGAAAATCATTTCAGAAATCCCAAACATTTTAGATTAATTTAGATATGCTTAGCAGACTTTTTAGTCAAATGTTCCTTATCAATTAACCCGTCCGTTACTGATCATCATTGAAAAAATAAAAACAAAAAAAAAATTTATTTAATAAAACATTTTTATTTTATTGTAAATATTCTTTATTCAATTCTCTACCAATCAACCAACGACGAATTTCACTTGTACCTGCACCAATTTCATATAATTTTGAATCACGTAATATTCTACCAGCTGGATAATCATTTGTATAACCATTACCACCTAACATTTGTATTGTATCCAATGCCAATTGGGTGGATGTTTCAGCTAGTGTTAATATAACGGCTGCACAATCTTTTGTATATGGACTTGGACCAGGACGACGTTTATTATTAGTATTCATTTGATCATTTGCTTCAGAAGCATTTTGTTGTTTTTGATTTTGTTTATATTGATCCAATGCTCTTGATACATTATAAAGATATGAACGACACATTGATAAACGTGAATACATATCAGCCATTTTACCTTGTACAATTTGAAATGAACCAATTGGTTTATTGAATTGTTTACGTTCATGTACATATTTAAATGCTAATTCACATGCAGATTGCATTAGTCCTAATGGTCCACCAGATAATACTAAACGTTCACTATCCAATCCGGACATTAGTATATAAACACCACTATCAATTTTACCGATAAGATTCGTTTCAGGAATTTTTACATTATCAAACAATAATTCACTTGTTGGTGAACCTTTCATACCAAGTTTATTGATAATTTGTCCAATCTGGAAACCTTCCATATCTTTTTCCACCAGAAATGCTGAAATACCTTTTTCACTTGTTTTTGCATAAACAAATACTACATCAGCTTCAGGTCCATTGGTTATCCAGAATTTATGTCCATTCAATAGATAATAATCAGAATTTTTATTCGGTTTTCGAGCTGTTGTACGCATTGATGTAACATCTGAACCACTTGTCACTTCAGACATTGCTAATGAACCAATAAATGTTCCATCAATTAATCGTGGTAAAAATCTTGATTTTTGTTCATCATTTCCATGTAATGATATTTGATTAATACAAAGATTTGAATGTGCACCATATGACAGTGCAAGGCCACCAGCACATCTACTTAATTCTTCCATTGCTAAAACATGATTAAAATAATCCAGACCTAAACCACCATATTCAACCGGTGCTGTAATTCCCAATAATCCCATTGATCCTAATTTTTTCCAAAATTTACGAAAATCATCATAATGTCCATTATGGTCAATCTGGGGAGAATTTTCAATGAAAGAAAAAAAATTAGTTAAATTAGTTAAATTTGAATGAAAGAAAATTTCCCGGAAACCTTTTGAACCAATTCTTCGGGTAATTCTTTTTCGGCAAAATTTCTAACCATTTGACGAAATTCAATTTGCTCACCGGTCAATCCATGTAATACATCAGAATTCCATATGATACTTGGCGTTCGATTTTCGACAAAATTATCAACAATATTTTGAGATTGTTGTTGATAATAACGACGAATTGATTGGAAAAGAATTTGTCGAAAATTTTTTGATTGAAACAACATTATTATTCTTTAGGATACTTCCAAAAAATCAATCAATCAATCAATCAAGCAAACACTAATTCACATTTTTATCAATAAACATCAGCATCCTCACCATCATCAAAAATCATCGAGCAGAAGCATGATGACAACATCATCATGATGCTGATGATGATTAGAATGATTGAAAGCAAAAAGCGCAAAAATCAAGTCATATCATCTGAGCATTTTTCTTTTCTTGTTCAAAAAAAAAATGATAATCTTTAATTTCATTTAGTCGATATGTCCTTCGAAGAAAAAAGAAAAATGAAAAAAAAACTTGAAATCTTGAAATCTTGTTTGATAAATTTTCATTATTCACAAAAAATCTGTCTCATAGATGGCAGCATTGGTTTCGTTTTTTTTTTAATTTAGTTTTTTAAAATTTAAATCAGTCGGGCGTTTTTTTTTGGATGAAAAAAAAACAAAATCTGATAACGAAAGAAAAACACAACAATGGAAATCAGTTTGTTTGATTTACCCTTCTCTCTTTGCTTAGTAGAGAGATAATGGATCAATGGATTTTTGCGGATTTAAAAAACAATTTTTTGGGGTGTAATTTTTTTTGCATTCATTTTTTCAATGTTATTCGAATCAGAAAGTTGTTGTTGATGTTTGATGTTAAGAAATGTTGAAACAAATTTACCTAATTTTGATCTTGACCTTTTTGATTTCAATCCTTGGTGACGTTCAAAGTGTTAATAGACAAGTAGAAGAAGATGAAGGAGAAGAAAATAAAGTACAATGCAATTTTCAAAATCAACAATGTAATTGGAAAAATATTGATGAATGGCAATGGATCGAACCAAACGATAATAACGATGAAGATCTTGATCTTGATGGTCCACCAAAACTTTATGGTATGATATTATTATTATCTAATTGGAAAACAGGATTTTTTTCATTTCAGTTTTTCATCATTTTCATTTCATCATTTTCCATAGACATCGATAAAAATGCCCTAATGATCGAAGCCAAACGAAATCGTATAATAACATTTCAATCACCCATTTTGATTCGTAATGTTACCGATGTTTTCTTCGGGAATAATTTCTGTTTTACATTCCGATATTATTTTCTTTTGGAAAATATTATTACATTGAATATAACGAATGTCGACGATGATGATGATAATACTGAATCTGAAGAAATATGGCGACAACCGGGACAAATTTCCGATGATTTATGGCAAACCGGTCAGATTGAAATCGATAATCGTTATAGGAAATTTTTACTAACATTTCAGGCAATCGGTCATTATGGTTCGTTGGCATTTACACATTTTCGTTTAAATGAACAACCTTGTTTTAAATATATTGGTCAATGTACATTTGAATATGGTTTTTGTGGATGGCAAAATGAAAAATCAAATGATAATAAATTTGAAATTATTCAAGCATTCGATACGGGAAATCCAAATGTTTTTGATCATACAACCAATACCGGTGATGGTCATGTTTTGTGGGCAAATTTTCAACCAAAACAATCGAAAAGTGAAGAAAGTTCCCAGGAAGATAATGATGAACATAGAGCAGTTATTATTGGTCCATCATTGGCAAAAACATTTGCTAAACAATGTTTGGAATTTTGGTTTATGTTAGCACCGAATACAAATGTAAAATTAAATCTTTATCTACGACCACATTGGTTAATTACAAAAAAAGGAGAATTATTATGGTCAACAAATGAAACACATTTGGCTAATGAATGGATTCGTGTACAAATTTTATTGAAAAATATTCATTTAGAATCGAATCTAATATTCGAAGCTATTACAAATTCCGAACCTAGTTCAGTCGAAATAGATGATATACGGATGAAACCATTTGAATGTGATCGACCAATTGATTGTCGTTTTGATCAAAATTCTTGTGGTTGGAAAGATAATACATTAGATTTCCGTCGACGTCGTTGGCGTTTAGGACCAGGTCGTGTACAATCATCTGGATCGCTACCATTTCATAGTTTGCCATTAAATGGTGAAAATGTTCTGTATACAGATTTTACTGATTTATCACCGCATGAAGGTGGTGGATCAATGGAAATTTTAAGCGAAATTATTGATGCACCGAGAACATCAAATGGTGGATGTTTTATAATGAATTTTATTGTTAAATCTTTTAACATACGTAATGATCAATTTAAATTATCAATGATACGTTTAACAAAGGAAAAGCAACAACGAACAACATTATGGTCATTTGATAATATAACCGAAACAATTGGAAAACAATCCCGAATTCGTATCATTGTTCCAAGAAATGGTCCAGAATCAATAAGATTTTCATTATTGGCAAGAGCAAGTTATGTTAATACTTATATAGCTGTAATAGGTGTTTTTTATAGTGATAATATTGATTTTTGTACAAATCCAACGCCAGCAACACCTCCGACGACTATTTCAACCCAAAAACCTTCCGGAAATATTCTTGATTGTACATTTGAATCAAATAATACTTGTAATTGGATTGCTAATGGAAATTTTCGGGTAAACAAAGTTCGTAATATACAAAATTGGATGATGCCAACCAAAGATCATACTGAAAATAATTTAGATGGACATTTTGTTTATATTTATTCGGATAGAAATTCACAAAGAAAATTTGGTAATCTTGAAGCAAATATTCAACAACAACAGTCAGCAAAATCGGTTATTTGTTTCAATTTTGCATATTATTTATATGCAACAAAACAATCATGGTTTAGTTTAAATTTACTGAGTAAATCTTCAGGAAAATCCCAAATGATTTATCGTATGTCAATATCGAATACAATTCGTTGGCAAGAAACTCGTTTAACAATTGATTTTCAAAATCAAACAGAACAAATTGATCAAATACAATTTCGAGCAACCATTGCAGATGGTGTATTAGCATTGGATGATTTTAAAATCCTTGATGGTAAATGTTCATTTGATGATGAACAAAATAAACAAGAATTTTGTGATTTTGAATTGGAAAATTGTCGACTATTTTTACCCATATCACCCGATAATGATAATGACAACAACAAAATATGGACAGTTTATCAAGCTAAACAAGTTCAATCGGACGAAAATCAATTATTAATCGATCATACAATGCATACATCTATTGGTCATTTTTATGGTATTGATTTATCGTCATCATCATCATCATCATCGACGACCACTAATGTCGAAATAGAAAATTATCAATTTATTATTCAATCAAACCGATATGATCGTTCGGTTTGTTTACAATTTTCCTATTTGATCGGCGATGATACTACCATAATTGCCGATCCTGGAACGCGATTAACAATATTTAAACAAGATAGGAAAATTTTCGAAACATTCGGTAATACTGATCAATTGTGGTTTACACATCAATTACGTATCGATTCAGAAGAGGAATATCAATTAACAATGATAATTGAAATGGACAGAAAAAATCAAACAAATCAAACAACAAAAATGATTTTCATTGATGATTTATCATTGATTGAAACAAATTATTGTGAAAAATATGGCCGATGTGATTTTGAAAATGGTGATATGTGTTTGTTGGAGCCAATACTTACGGCATGGCCAGAATCAAAAACATTGAATCCAAAAACGAAAAAAAATCTTAGTGAAACAAAAAATTATACAAAAATTTCAACCAAATATTTAAACAAAGAAAATGTTGTAGATGTTTGTTGGCGACTATTTCAACCGAATCAATTCAATCAAAAATTTATTGATCACGATAAAACAACTGGCAATCATGATGGTAAATATATCCTATTGACTGGACAAAATCCATATGATCGTGCAATATTTTTTACTGAACGTTATTCACGATCATCCGATTTACTACTGAATTCAAATTCATTATGTATTGAATTTGCCCTGTTTAAACCATCAAATGATAGTATATTAGAAATTTATCAAAGTGAATCATTGGATAATGGAATGCAAGCAATGAAAATATGGGATACACGTGAACTGGTTGATAATGATTGGAAAATATTTGAAATATATGCACAGATTGAGAATCCAGAATCAATCGACCTATATTTTTATTTTGTCGGTATGATTGGTCAGAATCTGACAACATATATAGCATTGGATGATTTTCGTATGAAACAACGATGTGAAAATCCTTCAAATCATCACCGTAATAATAATCAATCAACAACAACAACGGCAAATCCAAATGATTATTTTGAATGTAGTAATGGTCAGTTTATTTCGGTAACGAAAACATGTAATTGGCACGATGATTGCCCGGATGGTGATGATGAATCGAATTGTGGTACATGTTCATTTGATCAATTAGATGATTATTGTAATTATCAAATATCATCGCCTATTGATAATGATTATCAATTTCGTCGATGGAATTCACATTCAAACGATGACGATAACGACGAAGATGATGTTGGACCAATAAATGGTCCAACATTATCAAATAAATATTTCATCATGGCAAACGGCGTAACTAAACATACAACCATGACTTGGCTTCGATCACCTATAATTCATCAAAGTTATACAGAAGGTATGAAATATTGATCAACGAAGAATCGATATTAATCCCTCTTTTTTTCCCCTTGTTTTAACCTAAAGGTTGCCGATTTTCATTTTTTTACAATTACAATAACATTGATGATAATCAAGGGTTAATATTATCATTAGAAATGATTGATTTAGGTGAAAATGTTATCATATGGCAAAGCGATGCACAATCAACAATCAACCAGCAACGACGACAATGGAAATTATTTTCATTAAATCTGAATCGTATAAAACATTCATTTCGTTTGGCATTTGAAGCATATTCCGGCACGAATTATAATCTGAAAAATTATCAAGCAATCGGTGAATTGAAATTGGATGGTTGTCAACCATTATTACCATCAATATCATCAAATTGTTCATCAACCGAACGATTTAAATGCAAGAATAATGTTTGTATACCGACAGCGTTTGTTTGTGATATGGAAGATGATTGTGGTGATAATTCGGATGAAACCAAATGTGATTCGAAAAAATTAACAGATTTTGAAGAAAATTATGGCCTATGGGAATCGAATGATGATGGCACTGGTAGTGGTTGGACGATTAAACAAGCACGACAAATGTCCAATTTACGTAATGGTCCTACATATGATCATACAACAAAATTATCAACTGGACATTATCTTTTTACCGATACGGATATGGCCAAAATCGAAAGTCCATTGATCAATGTTACCACCAAAGATGATGATTGTATGATGACATTTTTCCTGTTTAAAAATTCCATAAATTCAACATTATTGATTGAAGAGACGAATTTCAAAGATGTTAATAACGTTGATGATGAAACAAAACAATGGAAACAAATAATGGAAATCAATTCTACCGAATTACAATTTATAAAATATCAATTAAAATTTACAAAATCATCATCATTATTAAAACAGATTCGTTTTGTTTGTAAGTATAACATAACATTCATTTGTGGTGGTTGTTTTACAATTTGTAATTTGTAACGTTTGATTTTTATCATTTTTTCGAAATTTTATAGCCAAAATCCATCGATATTCAGAGGAATTTGTCCCACCTTATTTGGCTATCGATGATATAAGTTTTACATCATCATGTATGATTTTGATACAAAAAAATCCTGATCCTGATCATCAACATTATCGACGATTATCATCCATTTCTAAACAATGGTCGGCTGCTGGTTTATCAACATTATTACTGGTTTCAATCATAATAATCATTGTTATTGTTTATAAAAAACGACAACAATCTATTATTAGATCATCGAAAACAACAAATAATCAACGATTTGTAATGACCATTCATAATGATATTATACGTGGATAATTGATTAATGATTCATATTAAAAGATGGCGCCAGTAATTCCAAAAAATAAATTTTTTAAAAAAAGTTTGAAAATCTCATTTTTTACAATTTCCTTTTCGTATTTTTTCATCATTCTCATTCTGATTCATTCTTCCTATTTCGTACATAGATAAGAAAAACGGAAATAAAATATTTGTCGCCTAAATTGTTGTTGGTTGATTGGTTTGCTTATTTATCCTATATTTTTTATTATTATTATGTAAAAAAAAGGAAAATATTCTGAATAAAATGATGATAAAACGATAATAAAAAAACAAACAAATAAAATTTCTTAAATTGATTATGGATCTGAAATACATAAACCAATAGGTTCGATGACCGCAAGGTTTTCTTTCTTTTTTTTAATATGTTCATTTTTGCTTCGTTTTTTTTTCACTTTTACTTTGGACAATATCTTCATCGCTCTCTCTCTCTCATAAAAGATAATAAAAATACCATTATCAGTTGATTTTCTTTGATTACATTTTTAAAAATTGATTTTGTTGTTGTTTTTTTTTATTATTATTATTGTTGTTTTTCAATCAGCAATTCAGTTGGAAAATTCATTCATTTTTCTGCATCATCACCATCATCGATGAGAATAAAACTTCAACAAGCAAAATCGACAACGATAAAATGAAAAATCAAATTTTATTCAAGAATTTTTTTTACAAGAATATTTTTGGTAAATGAATTTCAAGGAAATAATCGAAAATAAGATTAATATTTTTCTTCTTTGAGAAGAAAAATTCAGGAAAGAAAATGATGGGAATTTTGTTTTTTTCGATTAAAAAAAATTCTGGAAATATTCTCTATTTCGGCACTAAAAAAACGAAAAAAAGGATCATCATTATGATTCGATGATGATGATGCTAATGATGATGCTAAGTAAATTTACCAAAAACAAAAAACAAAACAACAAACAACGATTTAAACTTTAAATTTAAATTTTAAAGTTTAATATGTTTTCGGTGTGTGTGTAAAAAGATATTTAAAAGCAAAGCTAAGCATCGGAAAAATTATTTTCAAAGTTCAAAGATTATTTTTCATTTATTATTACAGTGGAAAATCTCATCAACCAAAAAACAAACAACAAACAACAAACACTGAGCGAAAAAAACATCATAAATCTTTTGATCGATGGTAATAAACACTTCTCTCTCTCTCATCGGTAGTTTTCGGTAGTTGTTGGTTGGTTGGTTGGTTTGGTTTAGTTCATCTTTTTTTTAAATGAAAAATCCAAAAGCTATTAAGTATTTTTTCTTAAGTATTTCTTTTTTCGACTTTTTACTCACTTGATCTTATTTGTAAGTTGCTTATATGGTTCATCTTTTCGAAAGATTCACACCATCGTGTGTATCACTAATGTGATTAATCACAGCAACTATGACTGAAAAAAAACACGACTAACAAATTTGTAACGCAAAGAGATGAGATGGGGAATGGGAAGAAAAAATGAAAATGAAATTCGGGATTCTTGAAACAAGAAAAGAGTGAAGAAAAGAGTAAAAGAGTGAAAGTGAAAAAACAATAAAAAAAATTAGAGAAAAAACATCTCTCTTTTTATGTGGAAGTGTTTTGGTTGGAAAATTCCTTGTTTTAGCTCTAGGTCAATTAGGTCAATTTATTTTTTCGAGTATATTTACTCGGTGGAAATAGTAGACGAAGAGAGAGAGAGAGAGAGAAGATGCCAGAGAAGATTTTTTTTTTACTTCATTTATCGTCATTATTATTAATATTTATCCCCGAAACAATGAAAAAATGAATGGATTTTGAAATGATTTTTGTTTTGTTGTCAGTCGTTTTTTGATTTCAGGACGGTAATATTCTCTGCTCTGCTTTGCTGTTTTTTAGTTTTCACCTAATCAATCATTCTTTTAAAGGAATTATATTTACTCTACGCACACACAAACAGACAAACATCGTAACTATCCTGAAACAAAAAAAAAACATTGATCATTCGATGAATCTTTTGTATCATCAACAAACAAGCAAACAAACAGTAAAATCTTTTACTGAATGAAAAAATAAAATGACTTTTTTTTAACATTAACATCAACAGAAGAAAGGGGGAAGAAAATTGAACCGGATAAATAAGGGGGAAAGAAGATGGAAAAACATCTTGAAAAACTTGACGACTTTACAGTGTGTGTGTGTAATGCATAGATTCTTATGTTGAAAATTAGTAGTATCGATGCAAACAAAAATAACAACCAACCGAGAGTAAGGAAAGGAACATTATTGATGCTTAAGAAAGTAGAAAAAAGTGAAAGTAAGTGTTTAATGTTGTTGTTGTTGTAATGATGATGATGTTGACGAAAAACAGAAAAAAGGTTAATGAGAATAAAAAATAAAAACAAGTTAAGCGCACATAGATATTGAGAGAATCGAGTGAAAAAGAATCCAAGAGAAAAAATTAAGTAAGGTAAGTTACCTGCTTCTGTTTTTGTCGTTGTTGTTGTTGCAGCCAAAGTGTTTTTGAGAATAAAGAAAATCTTTATTTTTTGCTTGATTTTTTCCTTTTTCTTTATATTTTCGATGTGTATAATGTTCGTTTAGTGTTAAATAATGTAGTAATATTATTTTCATTATGCTGGGTGTTCATTGGTTGAAGTATAAAATGTTTATGTAAAAAAATGATGAATAAATTATCAGATTTTGAAACAACAACAACAACAAGCTCAAAACAACAACAACAACAAATTATCATTGTTTGTTTTTTGTTGGTTATAATCAATTTTTAATTAACATTGGTCGTTTGGTTTGGTTTGGTTGTGTGTAAATTTATCGTTTCATTTAAGATTTTATCATTTTATCATTTAACCAAGAAAGAAAAGAAAAAAACAATGTCGAATCAAATAGAGAAAGATTTCTATTTCTATTTTCACACAAACAAGATTTACATGAAAGTTTATTTGAGTGAAAAATATCCAACGGCATTATCATCATCACTGAGAATATACGAAAAACGGATATTTATTTACAACGATAATAGGATTTGCTATCGTTACTTTTCGTTACTTACTTTTTTTTCATCATCCAAATTATCATCATTTCTCTTTTTTTGGTAAACTTTAAGTCAAATTTATAAACTAACAAGCGAATTACAAACGAATTACAAAAAAAAAGGATTATATGATTGATTAATAAATAAATAAGGAGAGTGAGAGAGAGAGTGTGAGAGAGAGAGAGAGAGAGAGAGAGAGAGAGAGAGAGAAATATGTAAGTAATTTCAACCAAACAACAACAACAAAAAATGAATAATTCTTATTTTTTCATCGCATTGATAAAATGCTGAATCATAAATTTTTTCTTCAATATTCTTATTATCATCGTCATCGTCGTTTTTTTTCTCCCATTTATCATCATCATAATGATGATGATGATGATTCTTAATAATAATAATAATAATAATAACCGAAAGTGATGATGAATGATTCTGTCTGTTTAAACGATGGAAAAGCAAGAATGCAAAAGAAGAATAAGTTTGAAATATGGAATAACAGAATAATAAAATTACACAGAATTACACAGAATAAGAATTATTATTTTTTATTATAAATAAAATAATATATTTTATTTTACTTTTTTTTTGGTTTACAATTTTTTTACAAATTTTTTTTTACAAACGATAACAGAAAAATATTGGAAGTAATGATTATTGTAGATTTGATTTAGATGTTGTTGTTGTTGTTGTCGCTGTTGTTGTTGTTAATGGTGATGATGATGATGATGATATTAGTAGATGATGATGATGCGAATGCGGTTGCGGATGATGCTGCGGTAGTAGTGCATTTGTTGTTGCGGATGCTTGTTGCTGTGGTATGTAAATATATGATTGTTGCTGATGATTACGTGGTAAAGAATTGAAATCCGTATTACAAGAATAATGTTGTTGCTGTTGCTGCTGTTGATGATGATGATGATGTTGATGATGAACACCTGAATGACGTAATAATGTTGCTGTTGTTGATGATGATGATGGTTGATGTGCATGATGACCACTATAAATAATTTTTGAATTTGGATCCATTGATGATGATATTAATATCGAACGATTATTATCGTTAACATTATTATTATCGTTGGTAGTATATTTTCGTAATGGTGATAATTGAATAATGTTGGCTGTTTATAAAATAAAAGAGAGAAAAAAAATGTTCATTAAACTTGGTTCAAAAAAAGAGGGAAAATTTCCCGGAAATTTTTTAGGATGGAGAATCAAAATTCATGCAACAATTCATTCGAATTTATTTTGTTAAACAAAACAACAACAAACGAAAAAAACAACGATAATATAAACAAAATATGTAATTTTGTCAGAAATATTTTGTTGTTGTTGTTGTTGATAATTTACCTGGAAAAAAACAAAACAAAACAAACGACAAACATGATGTTTGTTGAATAAACCATAAAGATAAACATGTTTTCATCCAAAAAAAAAAATCAAAAAACCAACAGTCAATTCAAAACAACCAAAAAACCAAACCAAAACGAATATATTTTGGAAGCGATTTTTCCAAGCACATTATAGAATGGAATGGTTCCAAATAATGATAAGTAAGTAAGTAAGTAAGTAAGTAAGTAATGAAAATGATAATATAAACCCAGAATGAAAAAATATAATTAATTAATTAATTAATTCTGATGGTTTACATTTCTTTTTTACATTACATAACATAATCATTTCATATTTTTTTTTTATTCTTATTGTTCACATTTTTCATTGGAAGAAGAAGAAGAAGAAG